AGTTCCGCTCCAGCCCTGCTGACGGGTAGGCCTCAGGAGTGTGGTTATGGGCGTGGGGGTTCTGAGATGTCCAGAACTGACAGGACTCTAGTTGGTTTTCACGGCCCCTGTAGCTTGACCCTTTGTCCCGTAGGTAGTAACAGCCTGTGGACATAAATTTCAAAGTAATAGCAGCACATGGCCACAAGAACTGTTTTAATTGTTTTCAGTCCATGGTTGACTGTCTCCGAACCTCAGTGTTACTTTACATTGCTGTTGACCACCGAGCTCTCTTTCTTTGGTAATTGATAGTAAAGTGAAATAGCAATTGATTTCATGGCCCTTTCAGAATGTCAAACAGGCTAGGGTTTGTAGAATGGTCTGTAGAATGGTCCCAGGTGGCTACAAGAATAGTAAGCTGAAAACGTCAAGAAAATGACTAGTTTTCAAGTCTTTAACTTTGACTCAATCAATCAATCAATCAATCAATCAATCAATCAATACCCTTTATTTATACTGGAAATGCCCTGTGGGCCTTAGCCGCTCTCCCCAGAGGTCCAGTTGAGGGGGGTGGGTGGTCACAGGAACACAATAAATAAGTAAATAAAATTTGAATTAATACAAAAATAAATTACTTAATACCTAACATAATAATCATATCTTGTCCAAAATCACAATCCGCAAAATCAGTCCGCAAATCAAATTTCTCGACTACTGTATTCTTTGTTTGAAAGTTCTCATTGATGGAGCACACTGTGCATCCTCTGGTATGCTGTTCCAGATGATAGCCCCAGACACAGCCCACAGAGATCTCTGCATACAGGTGACTCTAGATCATATGCACCACGAGTGCATTAAGAGTTGCAAACACACAATGTATTTTATTTATTTTGCAACCCTTAAAATAGGCCCACCACAATGCTTTTATTATATGGATAGCAGGCTAGGTCCCCCTATTGCCTGTCATCGTTTGTGGCCATTGTTCCATTTTAACCCTATCTAGACCGGGCTTTTTTAGTCCATGGGTCGAGACCGTTTTTTGTACCACCGAGACGGACCAGTGCTACCATAGATTTTTTGAATCTGCAATAACCAAAGTTTATTTTGATGTATGATAGCAAGTCTGTATGAGTAGCTTTCTTGGTGTAATCACGTGACCAAATGACGTCATCAAAATGGACCTCGTGCCTTGGGACTAAATCCAAAGGGCCGGGAAAAAATATGAAACATCAATAATTCTCTGCGAAAATTGGTTTTTAGACAAAACATGCCACAGTTATGACGCCATCAAATTAGCATAAAGTATGCATTTTTACTTATGAAATTTACATAAAATTATCTGGACTGTTATCAATATTAGAAACCATATGTAACTTGACATAAAAGCCATAAAATTCTATTGTTGAAAAGAAAATTACTAAATTTAGCAAAAAAATGCCTGTCAGAAACCCGTTGCCATGGCAAAACAAAAAATTATTATCTTATTCCAATGATGCAAAATTGCTGCCTACAATATTCTAGGAGAAGTCACCAAGTTTGGCCGTTCTAGCGCTAGCCATTCAGACGCTAGGTGACATCGAAGTTGGCGCGGGCACTTTTAGCCCCCCCCCCCCGTCTAGATAGGGTTAATTAATGATTTCGCGTTGGGGTTGTCTGATTACTGTGTGTGAAGTAACTCACCACAGTTCTTCTCATCACTGTTGTCTCCAC